AATTTTTTTTTAAGCCAGGCTATTGTTTCCATGTCCCTGTGGTTTTAAGGGAAGGTCACTTCTATTACAGATCCAAACACGACTTTTGATACATTATATGAAAGAAAACAATGACGAATGTCTTTACCAGGGTGTGCAACATGGTCCAAGTTCTTCCTGTCATTCTAGTGACTTCCTGCCACTTTCCCTTTTTTCCTCTCTTCCACCTCCATTTCTTTACCTCGCCACCTCTTTGGAGGACAAACACTTGACAGCAATCCAGAAACGCTCAAAATGCACAGCAAACCCCATTACACTATGAAATGTGTTTTAAATTGAAAAGGAATGTGAGGTTGGAGATTTCAGAAAATCCACTAAAACCAGACCAATGCAACTCCAAAGCACTGAATTAATTTGCAGATGTCTGTTTTCTCTTCTTTGTAAAAACCTCCTGTCTTTCAGATTTTCATAACCTGTGATTCAGGACGGATAATTATTATGCACATGTGGCATCCGGCCGACCTCCCACTGGCTTTCATAAACTATGAAAGGGATTATGAAATTTATATAACGGTCGCAGAGATCCGATGCGGATTACCGTATGTGAGAACGCAGAGTGCAGTGTGCTGTGCAGTTTTATGAATTAAACCACAAAAAGTCTCCACATTGGATTATTCAGATTATTCACACTCAATTAACTGTATAGGGGCTGTATTGTTTTAATAAAGAATCAATATTAACAGATGGTCTGTTTAATAAGGCAGAAGGGGAGGCTGGTTATGAGCAAATGGATGAAGTGATTTCTTCTTGTTTTGGGTTCCTCTCCCCCTTCCTCTTTATTTACCCTCTCTGCTTCAGAATAAGATAAAGAGATGATGATTAAGCTAAAATCTGAATGAACAGATGGTTTGCCTTTTGGGAAAACTGACATTTTGAACGGTTTCCCTCAAACCAATCCGATTGGGCGTCTTGTTGAAAAGATCCCTCCATTTTTTAGCCAAGGTTTGCATAGAGGAGAAACAAGGAGCAGAGGTTATCTCATTTAGACTAATGACTGAATAATGGCTTTGGTCTAATACTAGAGGCTAAGATTTGTTCAGCCATCCATTCAAGAAATGCCAACAAAAGAGGGAATTAAAACAAATAGCCTATATTTTCCTGTCCATTTACACTGCTTGTTGTACAATTGAACCACAACTGTGCCTCATACATGTAATTATAGTAATTAGGGTTTAGGCAGTTATATACACAAGCCCACATCTGTGGTGATTTTCAAGGTAAGATGTTGAGGTATATTAGCTGTGCTGAAATTACACACTGCAAGGGCTGCCCTGTAGTTCAGATAAGCAGCCTTGCATTGTGATTTCAAACTGACAGCGTCTGGATGTAGAAAATAAAGTGATTTCCATTAATAATGACCCCAAATTATATCATTTTTTTCTGAGGACTATTATAAACTTCATTATTGTTTACACTGCATTTTCAACGTGCTTTCTGTTGAGTTTAGTGTGTGATATGTGGCTAAAATGCTTCACAGACCTCCTCCAACATCCTACTTTACAAGACCACCAAATCACCAACCTACACAATGCTTATAAATGTGGTTTTTAAAATAATGATTGTCCTTCTCACCTTTCCATTCACACTGATTCACTCTTAGGGCAACTTTGGTGAGAGTTTAAGTTTCTCACAGTCATTTGACTCAGATGTGCGCGTATATGTGTGAAACAAAGTGAGTAGGACAGATATATACAGTAACAGGAGAGAAAGTGAGAAATAACACACTAGTAATGAATACGGAAAGTAGCTTAATCACTTTTCATCTGGTATCACTGGATTCTCTGCACTAGAGCAAAAGGGTCACCCGTTTAAAAAAAAAAAAACAGCCAATAAGCTTTAGTTATATCCCAGCCATGAATCGTGTTTTTTTACTTGCATTATTGGGCGAAGGATTGTCATTCTATAGGGAATCTGATTGGACAAATTCTATACAGTGCAGAACAAGTCATCATTCTCATATTTCTCCTCCATTATCCCAGAACAGAAAGACTATCTGTAAATTTGTGTATACCTGCTAAAGCTTAACTAGTATCAGCTTTTAGAAGCATAATAGCATATAGATTTTAGTCTCAAACATGGACTACAATCCATAAAACTTCAATGTGGAAATGACTGTAAAATAATAATAATAATAAAGTGATTAAACTGCACCAAAAGAGATCCAAAATGTCCACGTGAGAGAGTGAACCTGTAGGATCAGGTTTCATTGTTTCTCACCTCTAACATTGTGCCTAATATTTGTTCAGTGTGATGCCTCAAAATGACAGTTTTGACACTACTGACCTGCTTCTATATGAACGATATGATTTGCTTTACAAAAAATACATTATTGTTTTGTGTGTGTGCTGTGTGTGTGTGAATATACAGTAGGCCTATTACTGTTACCAGTGTTGGGGAAAGTTACTTTTAAAAGTAATGCATTACAATATTGCGTAACTCCATAAAAAAGTAACTAATTGCATTACTTAGTTACTTTTTATGGAAAGCAATGAATTATGTTACTTTTGCGTTACTTTTTGTCACCTGGGCTGGGCTTGCTTATTTGATTTAAAAAAATAAAAAAAAAACTCAGTTATATTTTTGGCAAATATAAAGACTCTTTCACACCAAAAGTGAAATGAACAAGCCTCAGGCTGAAGCAAGTGCCTCTGCCTCTTCACCTCACTCCTGATTTCTCTCAACACGGGGACAGGAGAGCTGTCAGTGAATAAATGGGAAAACAAAGTAACTTGCGATTTGAAAAAGTAACTCAGATATTTTCTTGTAAATGTAAAAGTAATGCGTTACTTTACTAAAGCAACTGGGAATAGTTGCTTGAGCTTAAAGTCCCCATGAAATCAAAATTAAAGTTTTTTGGGTATTAGTATCAATATGTTAGTCTTAAGGTTATCTATAAGGCAGTGTGCTCCAAAACATTGACAAAATTCGCATTTAGAAGATATAAGCATTCAAAGCTTGCAGTTCGTCACTTCCGCCAAAACGGCTCAACAA